GGTGGCCAGAGCCCCAACAATATGGCCAAACGAATACAAGCCCAAAGAAACAACAAAGGGGAAAACTCCAAAGATAAAAAACTCCATGGATGAAAATTCCAAAAGCTAGAACAAAGTGAAAACAGCCCTAACCAATCCATTATCTTTGGTCATGCAGGAAGGGGATGCATTCATTGTATTGAGTCATTTCAATCCCTTTCCCATTTTGTTTTGGTCATCCCATACCTTCCCATAGTTTGTAGAAGCATAATTGGAAACCTCTACCAAACTGCCAAATGAGGTAAACTTACCCAGGCTCTAATCCTATACCCCATATATATATATATATATATATATATATATATATATATATATACATACATACATACATATATACATATATACACACACACACACACACACACATATATATATATATATATATATATACACACACATATATACATATACATATATAGGGGTTGGTTCCGGTAAGAATGAATCTTAATGAAAGAAATAAGAATAAATATCATCCATCCGATATACTCCATCCTGTGGTTGAGATGCCATTATAGACTCTTGTTCCAACTAGGAAAGTAATAATTAAGAGGTGATTTTAAATTGTGATAAAATCGTATAAGGGCAAAATTGGGAAAGGAAAAGTCACAGGATTAAGAAAAATTCACAGGGATCTTTATCATCCCACCTATTGCGTGGTCAAACCAGACAGGATTATGCACCGAGAGAGAGAGAGCTATTCTATGAAAATTTCGCACAACCACTCTATCCGAAGACGCCGGAAGAGTTTTGATGGGAACACGAGAGGAAAGCCTCTTTTGAATCATGAAACTTCAGGTTTGTATACTTTAGCAGATTCGGTCACTTGCATGTATAAGTTAATCTAGTATATTCACTGTATTATACTTGATTTGGCTAAATATGGTGATGGAGGGGTGTGCGTGATTTTAATTCTTTATGATTTTGAGAAATTCAATTTTAATAAGTGTTCATTGAAAGCCTCTGTGTTGGGACGGTTGAATTTTGTTTTTGATACATTCTTAGTGATTTAATGATGGATTGATGCATTGTGAGATAATTTTGTAACAATTGTGCGTGTGTGTGATGTGTTTGATAGGTGCAGTGTCCTGGTGACACTTGCTGCATAACTGTAAAAATGGCAATGATGTGATGCATTTATACGAAAAAATATTGCATTGTATGATTTTAGTTTTAGTTCTTTTTGGACTGACTTAATGATACATTGCGACGACATGGTATAAAAGTATAGTGTGGTATTCACCCTTATTGCAGATCTGTAAAAATGACACTGATATAGTGCATCTGTATGCCAATATGGTGCATTCCAAGCTTGTAGTGTGAGATCCATTCTGTTATATATAATGTTGCATTGACATATCATAGAGTAACAATTGCTTGTTTTTGTTCAT